TTCCTCTCACCAGCCATTTTTTTGGTCAGGAAACTAGTTTTCTTGGTCTTTGGGCCACATTTGCTGGTTTCCCACCACACCATTGGCTTGCTTTCAGTGTGGAGACCACCAATTCCCCCTGCCGACAACTTTGTTTCCTAGGAGGCCACTTGAAGTGGTCGGCCGACCACTGTAAGTAGTAGGCCAACCACTTTAAGTGGTCGGCAGCTCTCCCCCTATTTTGTCAGACTGAATGGATGCCAGCTGTGCCGACTGGACGGCACAGACTGTATCCTCCATACACGTGTATGGAGGGATTGCATCCAAGTTTTAGCTTCTCCAAGAAGCTTGAACCCTTTGTTTTTCTATAAGAGAGGCTCTCCCTCTCCATGGGAGAGGTTCTGAAATTTTGTCTAAGGCATAGGCATATATCCCTCTCTTTCTCACTCTATATTGGTGTTTTGCTTCACACTTGTGCACACAACCTCATAGCCAAACACTCTTACCTTGTTACTGAGTTGCTGGAGGGTTTTGAGAGGGCTCAAGAGTTGGTTTTTGGTTCAGAAAATATGCTGGTTTTGCTGAGCTTCAAGGGTAACCTCTTTTCTCCCTTTTAAGCTTTTGTTTACTTGCATTTTTGGCCTATCAAAGGAGCATACAATTTCATACTTTCAAGGCCTGGTTCAGGCACTTTTTGGTGACTTTTAGGGCCTGTCTAGACTCTGTCCATGGTTGGTTTGGTCACCCTTGGCATGCTTCTCATATGTGTAGTGTATTCCCATTCATGGCTCATCAAGGTAGCATGTCAATCTAGCATGTTTTAGCTCCATTTCAGTGGGTTTTTGGTCATCATTTGACATGTCATGGCTCTTTTTTTGGCTGGTTTGGTAACCTCTCATATGCTCCATATGCTTGTAGTGTAAATCTTGTTTACTAGCTTGGTTCGCATGATGTTTTGGCTCTTTATTCTTGCACATTTTGGCTTTGCTCCAACATGGTTTTGTTCATATTTTGGGCTGCCTTAGCTTAGTTTTGAGGCCTCTTGGTCAAATGATGCTTGCCATTCATGCTTGTTGTGTAATAGCCTTGACTAGCTTTAAGTTTTGAGGTGTCTTGCATGCTTAACTTGAGATATTTGCGTGTTTTGGCATCATTGGAAATGTTATTTCAGAGCATGTAGGGCTGCTGTACTTCCATATTTTCCACTCTTTGAGTGCTCTTTAGAGTTATGCTTTTATGCCCTATTTGTGAGCCATTGCATGAGCCCCATTTTTGTGCCTTTCAAATCCATTATCCCAACTCATTTTGCTACTATTTTGGCCTGCATAGGGTCTGTTTGGGGTTGGTTTAGTCATTTGAGCATCGCCTTGCATGTCTTTAGCGTAATATGCTTCACTAGCTTTCGATACTTAAGCATTTCAACATGCATTACGTGAGTTGTTTGCATGATTTGAAGTCATTTTGTATGTCATTTCAGTGCTAGAACACATGCCATTATATTCCATGTTTCATCTTTTCAATGCTCTTGGAGAGTTGTATTTTGTGCCTTAAGCTTGGGCCATTTGCATTATACATGTTTGTGTGTGTTTTGGTGCCTTGATTTCATCATCAATGGCCGCTGATTTGGACATGGCTGAGGCCTATTCATTTCTGTTTATGTCCATTGCACATTGAGTATGTCATGTAGTTCGTAGCATTGAGCATGCCATGTTGTTGCATGATTGATCATTGCACTTGTGCATGCCATTTTCATTGCATTATGTATGTTGGTTACCACGTGCGTTGTGTATGTTAGTGTCATGAGCGTTGTGTATGCCATATAGTTCATAGCATCGTGTATGCTAGTTTGCATGTTTTCATGATCATCCCTTGCATGCTTGCATGTCTAAGTTGTGTTGCATTAAGTTGCATGATTGAGTCGCATTGTGCATGTCATGTTTGTTGCATTGTGTTTGGAATAGGCGTTAGTCCAAACACGAGAAATGAGGGACGTTTCATACTCGAAGTGATGAAACGTACCTCGATTCCCGGTCACCGACACTCTTGACTATGCATGACAGAGTTCTAGGCTTTAGGTGTTTGTATGTGCATTCATTCCATATTGAGTTGCACAATTCGGCCCCTGGGCCATCATGCATCGGGATGCATGATTGGTGGCCCGAGGGTCCAGACCTACACTCCCTTGAGCTTATGTAATGATAGGGAGGGTGGTCGCGCATACATGTGTTGCAAATACTTTGCCATACCCCTTTCTTGCCCTCTGTTGCAGAAAACCAGAAACCAGTAGCAAAAACTGGTCGGCCGACCAGATAAAGTGGTTGGCCGACCACTTTTTCTGGTTTTCACCACAAAAAGTGGTCGGCAGGTGGTCTCCAAGGCCAATATCTGGTCAGCAACATCCCCACAGATTCCCAAGGTGGAGTTTCATCTCTCTGGAGCTTGGTGCAAGTTTCTGAGATCAATTGCAAATAGAGGCAAATCGGGGTGTCGCGAGGGATTTCCGAACAAGGCGACCTGAGCATGCATGCATCCTTTGTCATCCAAAGGAGAGCTGAGGCAACCTACATCATATAGTTTATATGCTTATTTAATTGCTAATTTAGTTAATTTGTTAATTAGTTAGAGTTGTGTAATAATTAGCTGTAGCTTGTTATTCATTCTGTTGTGTAATAACTAGTTTAATTAGATTAGCTTAGATTAGCTAGTTGGTTCTGTATTATTCATTTGGACCCTTCGTCGAGAGGGTACAACTTTTGTAGATAAGTGTGCATGTGTGTGATACATGTCTTCCAACCCCCATTTCTTTCTCCCTTTTATTTTACCAGCTTACGATGGTTAGTTTTAGGGCATGTTTTAATTAGCATCCTTATGCTCGCACGTTTGCATCCATTCATTTGTCTCGCATGCACCGGGCTCGGCACATCATACTAACTTCATTATATTTCAATTCCTGTTTGAATACATGTATCAAATTACATTTCGCATGACATTTTAGAATAGCCGAGCCTATCTTAGTTGCATTTTGTATGTGTTGTATTAGGCATTCTTGACATAGCTAGGATCATGCATTAATTTCTAACATAGCTTTTGTTTTGGCTCGGAGTACTCGGTAAGTACTTATGCTTTAGCATCCTTGCATGTGTGTGAGTAACTGCCATGATAGCATGCTTGCCATGAGGCTAACTGCTTATGTGATGTAACTGCCTGAATGCCTGTGGGTGAAGGTTGGGTTACTTGAATTGGAACAATTCATTGAATGCGAGTTTTGAGCCCCCTTGAGAGTGGCAAAATCATGTTTTCTAAGCCCACCTGAGGGTGGCAAATTCGCATTTTAGCCTACTTGCGAGTAGCAAACTTCAAACCATTGCCCAAACAAACGGATACGCAATGCTTTGTTCCAACTTAGGCGATCTAGTCTATACTTGTGTGTTGTGTGTATCACATAGTAATTCTAAGCTAATAACCGGAATAAGAACACATGTGTTTTCAAAAAAAAGGTATCATGTTAGTAAAGGCTGATCTTTGATCGGGCGAGTGGGGGTGCTCATTGCATGACCTTCCCCTCTCGTACCCAAGTTCCCGAGTAGAGGCCACTTTAGTGACGACGGACACGTGGCCTTAGGCACGAGTCAGGGTTTCCTAAATTTCCCCAAATAAAATATTTAGGTGGTGACTTTGTATCTGGCGAAGCAGTCCATGTTTGGCACTTCTTTCTAAAAATCAATTTTTCAAAACGATTTGCCAGATTTGGACTCTTTGGTGATTTATCGGTCTTGCATTGCACTTTGCGAGATTAGATTCAGAACCATGATATTTGAGTCCGAGCTGTAGCATGAGGCCCTCGGGGCCCTTCTACAGTTTCTGGTGACTCTACTGGGGATTTAGAGAACTTGACTCGAACTCATGATATCTTGTTTTGATTACACTTATGTGTTTCTTTGCATTGCATTGGCATTGGTGCACCTAGGACACCGTGTTTGCCATCTGTTATTCCTGAATGGTTTGCCAGAGGCTCGCTTTGAGAAGCGTGCCATAAGGCTGATCGGTTACGGGCTCTGCCACGATGGGAACACAAACCCCAGTTGTTACCGGGGCACCATTTTGACCATTCGACCTAGTGCATATCGAAATCCATAGTGACTATTCCAAACTAGGATAGGTTGCTTACCCGATTGTAGGTTGTTTGAAACCGTTGTGTGCATAGTGAAACCCTAGTTCTTGACGAAACCAGGACAGGGAAACCCTACCCCTCCATAGGGGTGTTTTGGCTCTCATTTGCTTGCTATGTGCTTTTAGAGTGTGCCTCTATAGGAATGCATGTATCAGTCTGCAAGTCTGGGTATCATGACTGCGGGTATCAGAATGTGAGGAATCAGTTTTACCTGAGGGTATCAGTTTACAGGCAAAATTTGGGGCAGAGTTCAGTAGAGAGCACAGTCATTCAGCTTTGCTCAAATCTGTTCTTGTAAATCAGGCTGAGATGCTGCCTGTTTTCTCTTTTGCTAGGTAGTCCTGGAACTATAGCCTCAGAAGGCTCCGACATCCCCCGGGTACATTGAACTTGTGCTGATAGACTTTCTCAGGTCAGAGATTCAGTTCAAGGGCAAACAGTGTTTCCTTCGACAGTGGTAAGGCAAAGAAGGGCCAAACAGGGCTCATTGGCTCATCTGATCCGACAGCCACCAGTCACATCATCAGCAGACCCGTGATGGCATAGGGTTCGGAAGAATTTGTGGCCATGATAGCAGCGTTAAATCAGGGAACTTCCATGCAGGATGAGACCAGTGCTGAAATGCAACGCCCATTTGGGGCATCTGCCTCACATCCAGCTTCGGGACCCCAGCCAAACTTTGACCCACTTCTGCCGGCTGAAGATTTGCAGGGTCCAGATCCTCGAGAAGGGTTGGCTCAAGCCCGAGTTTTCAGACCCTTGGTGCAGCCGACTGAAAGGCTTTATCCCCTTGATACTATTGATCTCGATTCGACCGCGGTGAAAATTGCGAACCTTGAGAAGCAATTCAAAAAGGCACAGGGCCTTAACTCCATTCCCAAGATTGAGGATGGGTACACCGAGGCTGCCGTACGGCTCCCAGACAGATTCAAATTGCCATATATTGACCGTTTCGACGGGTCTAGAGATCCTATGGTACATATCCAGCTCTTCTTGGTTATCCTGAAGCCGATGGGTCTGACTAAGCCAGAGAAACTCTCTCTGTATGGAAGAACCTTGTCGGGTGTAGTAGCCGCTTGGTATGCCAAGTTAGAGAATACAGTGAAGCAGAACAGGGAAGAGATGGCTGAGGCCTTTGTCGATCAGTATTCTTACAATACCCAGTTGAAATGACTATGCAAGAGCTTGAAATAACCCACCCGAACCCAACAGGGCCCTTTGTGGAATTTGTTGCAAGGTGGAGAGCAAAGGCAGCACAGATGATAGATTGCCCTTCTAAGAGGGATCAAGTGCGGATAGTGGTGCAAAACCCTGAGCATGATATGTTGCAAAAGTTGATAGTCGCTCCACTATTCACTTTCAAAAGTTTGCATGAACTGGGGGTTCAGGTCGAGAATGCATTCAACAGTGGGATCATTCCCAGAACAAGTGAACCGACAAGGAGGGTGATTTCAGGGAGTACTAATGCTGGTAGTAGCGTTATTCCCAAACCCACCGAAATCAATACAGTGGCCATAGCCAACCCTTTTGCCAATCCAAGCCTACAAACCGCTAGCCCAACCCGAGCTCTGGACAGAACTTTCAACCCCCTCTATATGAGCCTGACTAGGGCACTAAAAGTCTTGATGGAAAGAGGGTATCTCAAACCCCTCATTCCTCAACCTCTGCCTGACCCACTCCCAGCAAGACATAACCCCTCCAAGTACTGTGTGTACCATCAGCAGCGCAGTCATGGCACCCACCATTGCTACCGCCTTCGTCATGAGGTCCAAAATCTCATCGACAATTGGACGATAGCTCCACCTTTAGGCCCCAATGACCAAGTACTTCATCCACATCTCAATCTAATCCAGACACTGGCCGTTCCTTACGACCCCAGCGTATACATCACCCCAGTCCATCTACCCAAGCCTGAGGCGGTTATCCTAGAAAACATGGACTTATGCATGATGGATGCACTTGGACCCCAATCCTCTCAAGCCCGTGAGCCCACTACTTCTGAGCTGAAGAGAATGATCGAAGATCTTCAAAGAACTATGGTAGATTTAGCCTTCGGGATATTGGCTCCGTCATCGACCACACCACATGCCGGGAATTTCACGCCAAAAGGCTCCCCAATCTCGGGACAGGTTGCATTGGAAGAATGCCAATCCCTTGGCAAAGTGGAGGCCAGTGGTAAGAACAATATAAGGGCAGGCATTGGTCCCCATGAACACCTTCAGCAGGCTGTGGAGGCTTTGAGAGCCAAAGAGCTGAACAAATAGCAAGTGATTGCAGTTGTTGCAAAGATTGTGGAGGATACTTTCGTCACTTAGAATGAGAGCAGTTCGAAGCTAGGGAAAAACCGGGAGAAGGGCCGTCGTACTAGAAACGATCCTGTCAGCTCCAATCCTCCACTCGGAAGAGATCAGCAAACCAGGCCAGCACCTGCCAATCCCTTTGCTGGTGCATCCAGCAAAAATCCACAAACCTTGAAGTACCAACCCCGAGGTCGGAGGGTCTTCCATGCCCTCTATATGCCTTTGTCCAAAGCTCTCCAAATCCTTGTTGGGCAAGGCCATCTCAAACCCCTTGACCCTCGACCTCTCCTGAATCCTCTTTTGGCTACGCATGATGCTGCCCAGTACTGTGCCTTCCATCAACAAACCGGTCATGGCACTGACATGTGTTTTTGTCTTAGCCACGAAATACAAGATCTGATTGACGACGGGGTCATCACTGTGCCTAGTCTTGCAAAGTCTATCGGCACTTGATAGTTGAACTTAGGGAATTTGTGATGTGATCGGGGGGATGAACCACCGGCAGGCGGTGCTCAATTTATTCCAGATATAACGTATGGCATGCACTGTCTTGAGCATTTTACGAATGTTAGTCTTTATGCTTTTTGACTTGGGTATTGGGTCAGTCTTGTCGTTTTGTATTGAGTTAGTCTTTTCATACTGAGTCAGTCAGGTCTGTCTTGTTGTATCGAGTCAGTCCTATTGTGATGGAGTCAGGTGATGTCGGGTGTGTTACCTCGGACATCACTCTCTTGTTTTGTGTTTGTCTTTTGCACCCACTCTTTTGAGTCTGTTTCTGCCGTGAAGCCAGTTGAGCTAGAAGATCTGAATGAAATAACAGTGGTTTTCATACTTTTGAGTTTATTTCTGCTTTGAGCCAGTTGTGCCAGAAACTTGAATGAAACGGCAGTGCTTTTCACCTACTTCTTCTATGCTTTTAAATCATTGCATTGACCTAAGTTTTTTCAAAACTTTTTGAACATTGTGAGGAAAACAAAGAGGAAGGAATTCCTTGGGATTTGCAAAACTTTGATCAAACTAAGAGAAAGAGAGGCATGCTAAGCCCTTAATGATTAAGATCATGCTTGTTAATGTGAGTACTGAGAAGGATCCTAGCTTGATCCAGATTGGTTCTACACTGTCTTCAGCGCGAGAGATTAGTCACTTTCTTAAAAGGTTTCAAAAAATGTTTTGCGTCATCTTGCGAAGACCTGTGTGGAATCGCTCTTGAGATTGTGCAGCCCAGGATCGATCTTAGCCTCAAGACTCGACCTCTTACTTTCAAACCTTGAACTTAGATTCAGAATGTTCAACGGTCAACCATAATGTGAGGCTTGTGTGGCTAGATTTGAAGCAAATCCCCGAACTAGGGGCAAGAAGGTCAGATATGATCAAAAGAAAGCTTGCAAAGCTGGGTGAGAAACACCCCTCAGACTAGGGGCAAAAAATGTCAGATGTGCTCGAAGAGTCAAGGTTGGGACATTTCTCAAGCTAACAAAGATCAGCAAGAATGCCAAATCCCAGAAGGGAGGAAAGAAGAAAGTATTGCTGAAGGACAATCAAAGTTCCTATCCACAACAGTAGGGGCAATTCAAACCCGGTTAGATGGATTTCTACATCATCATCGAACAACAGCCACTCTCCTGGATTTAGATGGCTTCGAGATCTCAGAACCATTTGACATAGACAAAGCTACACTTTTACCCTTGAGAGGCTCACTGGGCCGAAAACCCGGAAAGGCGACCCAGGCAAAAGTTAGAGCAAGAAAAAGAAACGAAAAAAAGAAAAGAAAAAGAAAAGAAAATGAAAAAAATTACAAAAGAAAAAATGCAAAGAATGAAAAAAAAAAAGAAAAAAGAAAAAAGAAATGAAATGAAAAAATGAAGAAAAAGAAGAAATGAAAAGGAGAGAAAAACAGAGCTCGCAAGGTTGAAAACCCGAAAGGGCGGCCTTGGCAAAAGTTAAAGTGCAAAAGGAGAGGTTAATACCCGAGTGTACCACCACCCCGAACTACGTAAGGCTTGATTCCCATGTTTGGGATGCGTAGGCAACTTCATTCTGAAGTCCAGCTATAAACACTTCCAAATTGATTGTGTCCATGTATTGGTTCTGATCGTCTTTGCCTTCTCTGTATCCGAGAGTTCGGTTGTGATCGTCACTTTGAGGACTGATTACAATGCGCTGCGGTGCCATTTAGACAAGGGGCAACTTTCCGTTGCCATACATTGTGTTGCGGTCAAACAAGGGGCAACTTGCCGTTGTCGTGCAATGCCTTTCAGACAAGGGGCAATTTTCCATTGTTATGGGTCTGAGGCTGTGCATCTCAAGAGTATGTTCCGTGCTCATTGAGCAGTGGCCGTTTGCAAAAATAGTTTTTCAGAATTTTTACTGAGGTTGACTAATTTTCTCAAAAATTATTCCATTTTCCAAAACTGGACCATTTCTTGCACCCAAAAAAGGAAAATTTTCAGTGCGCATAGCCTGACTTGCATGATTTCAAATCAAAAGTTGAACAAGTATGTTAATCTAACTCTCATGTTGGTCAAAATTGTTTAGTAGAAAGCCAAAACAAAAAATGGTCAAAGTGATGAACTAGGGGCACAGTTGAGTCCGGTGTTCCATCCTTTCCCCGTTATCAACATACCCGCCAGCAAGGGCACCATATTCGCCAAGAAGGGCACAACTGAAGCTAACAACAAGAGGCTGAAAGCTCTCTCGTCCTTCGAGCAACGAGGTATCAAGCCAAGTGCGAAGCACAAACTGGAAAGGATCAAGATGTTCCACTTCCTCATCTGGACACATATGATCATGTCCAAACTCCCCAGCAGAACATCGTCAACCGATGTCAGCTGCAGATTTGCTACACACCCAGTTGTAGCGCAACCCCTCTGCGGGAAAGTTCACTGTTGTGAGCAGAAGAAAAGAATCTAGCAGAATGCTAGGGGCAAGAGCCCGCAACTTCCTGTTTATCCATCAACCACCCTGGGGAGGGATGAAAAATGAGAGATTAAAGAATAGAGAGATGTACGTTGAGAGGAAAAGCGAGAAAAGGGTTTTGACAGAAAAACCAAGCTTGAGGGTCGAGTGATGTAAGAAACACAAATAAGAAAGGGTGGGAAATAATACCCAGATAAACTGGCTCCTCGTGCACCGAGAGGTCTCTTGCCTTTGTAACACAACTGAGTGTTGTGTTTGTCTGTTTTTATTTGTCTCGATTCTTGTTTTGAGTCGTTTGAGTGTCAACAGATGTGTTTAGGTTGTTTTACTTTGTTTTTTCCTTTGTTGAGTGGTGTTTAGGATGGTCTACCTTTGTTTTCCGTTGTTGAGTCGTTTTGGTTGTGGTCAGTTGTAGGCTCAATACCCGGATGAGAACCCTTTTCTCATTTCAATTTCAAAAATGAATCGTTTTATGCTCAGAGTGTTGTGTCGTTCTCCATATTTGTGCAAAACAGGATTTGTTCTTTCATAAAACCGCAGGGTTCAACCCAGGTCATGTGAAAACAGTAAAACCAGGACCTATCTGAAGCTATATAGGTTCAAGACTACAAAGCAAAAGAAAATGGGAAAAATG